CTTAAACTATAGGGGCCTTAATACTATGGTTTAAGGTATACTGCTTTTTTAAGGGCTATTGGGTTCTCTGGGTTCATGTCTAAACTGGTGACTCTCTGCGGTTCACCGTTTCAGATTCCAGGGCTGGGGCGGACAGGGATTTGGGAGTTTCGCTTCAGTTTGCGAGGTCTTCGGAACTTAGATTGGGAGCTCTCGACGGCTCCAAGGACTCAGCAAACGAAAGACAAACAAGTTGAACAAATCTTTCAATATGGGGGTTTCCGAAAATAGGGGACCCTAATATAGCACCCTAAATGGTAGGATCCTTATTATAATGACCCCAAAATAAGGTACCCCTTGTTTTCGGAAACTCCCATGTCTTGGTGGCTCCGGAAGTTCTGAACCCAGGAGGTTTCTCATTTGTCGAGCTTTTCGATGCTACTGCTCGAGAAGCAGAGCTCCTCCCCAGGGGGTGCATGATGGTAACGTAGGGGCCTTAATAATTAGAATAATTAGGGTTTTGGGTATATTCTACTAGCTATAATTAAACTAGAAGTTTGTGGTATATTATTCTATAATTAGAATAAGGAACCCCTCAAAATAGTATAGGTATTTACGAAGGCTACATTATAGTCGAGCGCTGGCGGAGCGCACTCTGGACCCTGCCTCCCGCTCGACCCTGAACCGTAAAACCCTAGGCAGAGGAATAAGATCGCTGGTCCCTGATGTCTGTTGCAAAAAACTAGGAACCCAGAAACCACAAGAGGAAAGGGATTCCAAAATGCGTAAATGCCCCTTTACTTAGCTCGAAACCCCTTAAGCCCACAAGAAATCCTGATTCGACAGGGCTTTTCGGCAGCAGCACCATCAAAGTTTCACCAAGGGCCCAGGGGCGCGAGCCCCGCAGCCGTTTCTGTAAGGATCAGGGGCTGGCCGTGGGTCGTCAGTAAGTGCGTATTATTTTTGAACCAGGTTCCCAAATCAATCAGCGTAGAAGGGACTCCCATCTGCAGTACCCATAGGCCCCATAGTAGTTCCTTTTCGTGGCTTCTATTTAGGGCCCAATTAGGGAACCCCAAAAAGGAACTACTATGGGGCCTATAGGTAAAGATGACCTAACAAAGACAAGAGACGAAGACCCGGTTCTCAAACTTGGCATCCCAGGACCTGAAAACCGACGAAAGCCCTAAGTCTTAAGTTCTTTGAATCCCCTAAACCCCCAAACTAAATGGGTAGTTCTCTAAACAAGGCTCCATTTTGGGGTCCTTTTTATAAGGGTGCCGTACTATAATGGGGACCTAAAAAGGGACCCTAATCCAGAGAACTACCCCTTTCCAAACTAAATCCCTAACACCTAACACCCTAAAAACCCAACACCCTTAAGACCAGGCCTGACTGTCGCCGTTGGTGTCGCCGTTGGTCCCGTGCGTCCAGGCTTTGGCATTGCCAGGCTCGTAGGTCATCGGCCAGTGCCTGAGACTACTAGTAATCTAATATAGGTGCCCTCGTAGTTGACATGAGGTTTTGGGGTAACTTATACTATGCTAAGGGCCTTAGGGCCTTAGGGCTTCAGGGCCTCTTGAGTCTTGGGTTTCTCGGGGCGTTTGGGTTCAGAGCCTAGGCTTTAGAACTATAGAGCTCGGCGGGTTTGGGGTTCAAGGACCTCCATTTGTGGATCATTGCTACAACAAGTTACAGCAAGGTTGATGATGACTATCATGGTGGTAATAGGATAATGACGACAATGACGATAACAATGATAAGACTATGATGGCAACATCTGTACTTGTTGCTGCCTTCTTAGCAGATCGACTAAGTCTGCAAGCACCTGCTGTTTTGTAGCCAACCTGCACGCAGCGTATGGTGAGAATGACCATTTTGACGTCGGACTGTACATGACAGTTGCGCCTCCCATGGCAATAGCAACACCAATAGCAGTCCCAGAGTCAGATAGTGGTAGTAGTAGTAGTAGTA